TGGAGGAGTGGGGAATCAAACCCGGTTCTCCCAGATTAGAGTCCACACACTTCACCACTACACCAAACTGGCTCCCAATCCCCCCCTCCATGCCAAGAGAACAGCCCCATTTTTCTTCCTGCGCTGCTGACACCTATTTCTCCCTCAGAATGGGAGATGCCCTGTTAGAAGAGGAGCCTAGGAAATGTTGCTCTTCCAAACTGTGACAGCACTGCCCCCTCGTGGTCCACTCTATACGTTTGAGCTCTTGCGTCCCATTTCACTGTATTTGAAAAAGTGTGCCTGGCGCACACGAAAGCTCACACCTTGAATAAACCTTTGATGTTCTTAAAGGTGCCACTGGACGCTAAATTTGTTCTACTGCTTCAGACCAACACGGCTGGCCACCTGGAACTAAATACATTAGAGATATACTAGATATTAGCTAGAAGAAGAAGAAGAAGAAGAGATTGGATTTATACCCTGCCCTTCACTACCTAAAGGTGTCTCAGAGCAGCTTTCAAACTCCTTTCCCTTCCCCTCCCCTCAACAGACACCCTGTGAGGTGGGTGGGGCTGAGAGAGCTCTGACAGAAACTGCTCTTTTTCAAGGACAGCTCTGACAAAACTATGGCTTGGTCATCCAGCAGCTGCAAGTGGAAGAGTGGGGAATCAAACCCACTTCTCCCAGATTAGAGTCCACTCACTTAACCACTACACCAAACTGGCTACTATATACACTGTGCCTTAATACTATTTATGTATTCTCAGTGCAACTAGTAAGTACAATAACATTTCATGCTAATGGATTTGAATACTTTTCACGTTATGTTGTTTAAAAAATCTGGTTTAAATGGAAGTTTAGTTTTCCCTCTCTCAGCTACCAGTGCCCAGAAGCTTTGTGCCTTTCATCCAATATGCATTTCCTTGGTAAAGTTCTATCCAGTTTGTGAATTTCTGTTAGATGCATGTTTTCTGTTCAGAAATATCCAGAAATCTCACACAAAAGAGGATTATTTAACATTTCAGACCTTCTTTACATAACATTGTTTTAACCATAGTGCGATGAAATAAACGTGATAATTCTAAAACCCTTGGAAAGTCAATTGTTGCATTAAAAAGAGAGAGATAAACTCAGAATGTAAATGACACTGAATGAAATTAAGTGAGGAATGAGAGAGAGAGAGAGAGAAAAGAGTCCAGTAGCACCCTAAAGACGAACAAAATTTGTGGCAGGGTAGGAGCTTTCGTGAGTCACTGCTCACTTCTTCAGATACAGTGAGAATGTGAGTCCATCTGTCCTATATATTGGAAAGTGGAAAGATTTCAGATGCCAAATGACATGAGCAGGCAAATGACAATATCAGACGTGATTGGATTAGGTGTGATTTGCCGAGGGGTAGTGAGCGTGGAGAAATCAACATCAGTAATGAGACAGGAAACCTAGGTCTCTATTCAGTCCAGGTGGATAGAGATAGATAGATACATACATACATATATAGATATGCACATATATAGATATAGATGAATCACAAGCCGGAATTAAGATTGCTGGGGAAAAGATCAACAACCTCAGATATGCAGACGATACCACTCTAATGGCAGAAAGTGAAGAGGACCTAAAGAGCCTCTTGCTCAGGGTAAAAGAGGAGAGCGCAAAAGTGGGCTTGAAGCTCAACATCAAAAAAACTAAGATCATGGCATCTGGCCCCATCACTCCTTGGCAAATAGAAGGGGAAGTCGTGGAAGTAGTGACAGACTTCACATTCCTGGGATCCCAGATCACCGCAGACTGTGACAGCAGCCATGAAATTAAAAGACGCCTGCTCCTTGGGAGGAAAGCGATGGCGAACCTAAATAGCATGGTAAAAAGTAGAGACATCACCCTGCCAACAAAAGTCCACATGGTCAAAGCAATGGTATTCCCAGTAGTTATGTATGGCTGCAAGAGTTGGACTGTGAGGAAGGTAGAGCGCCGAAGAATAGATTCTTTTGAACTATGGTGCTGGAGAAGACTCTTGAGAGTCCCTTGGACTGCAAGAAGATCAAATCAGTCAATCCTAAAAGAAATCAACCCTGACTGTTCCCTGGAAGGCCAGATAATGAAACTGAAGCTCAAATCCTTTGGCCACCCAATGAGAAGAGAGCCCTCACTGGAGAAGAAGACCCTGATGCTGGGAAAGATTGAAGGTCAAAGAAGACGGGGACGGCAAAGGATGAGATGGTTAGACAGTGTCATCGATGCAACGAACATGAAGTTGAGCCAACTTCAGAGGACGGCGGAAGACCAGAAAGCCTGGCGTGATCTGGTCCATGGGGTCGCGAAGAGTCGGACTCGACTGTGCGACTGAACAACAACAAGATATATTTGATCAGTTGCTTCAGAAGGGTTTTTTGCCCCCAAACAAAGCCAATGAACAGATGCCACTTAGCAACAGAAACCTCTGGATTCATTGGCCCTCTGCAGAGATGGACTGAGCCAGTTCACTTCTCTGCCGTACTGCAGAGTTTTTGCCCAGCCTCCCAAGGCGCCTGCCTCACTGTGCTTCCACAACACAGAAGTAGGTGGCTGCGTCTCTGCGCTGGACCCCGGTGATGTTCAGGCGACTTGACTTCTCCTTTTTGTTGTGGTCGGCGCTGAAGTTGGGTTCCTTTCTGGAACCCGTTCCCGTTATCGTGAGCAGATGCATAGGCCCCTCTCCCGGGAACTGCCGGTACCATTGCAAGCTGTAGAAAGAGCTTGATTCATACTTGCAGGCGATGGTGGAAGTCTCTCCTTCCCTGGTGACCTCCAGCAGGCTCTGGTTCACCTGGACTTGGCATCTGACCCCTGCGTGGAAACAATGTGAGGTTTATTCAAAGATCCGTTGCCCAGCCGGCCAGAGAGGAAAGCCATGGCAATTGATGGATTGACCGTCCTTTTCGTGAACTTTGAACCAAATTCTGGACATGTTCATTGTAATCTGTGGAACACGATCGCTTCAAATCTAAGGTCCCTTTAAGAGGGAGGCGATGATATGGGCAAGGAGTAGGAATTAGCAGGGGGGAATTCCTGGCACTTACCACAGAAAAAGATGGAGGGAAGAATCAGGGCGGTCCAGGGAGGGATCGTCATCTCTGTGGACGATACTAGGGCTTAGCTTTGTGTGATTGCGCTGAACGACACATCTCAGGAAAGAGAGACTGAGTCATGAGTCACACTGTTCGTCCTGCCGAAGCCACCCAATCAGAGGCATGCACCTTTCTACAGCATGAAGTGAGAATGATAAGGGGAGAAGGTAAAGGTAAAGGTTCCCTTTAGTCATTTAGTCTTAAGCCGAATCTGCATTTGCATTTTAAAATCATTTTCGTGCTGCTGTGATGCCGCCTTTCTCTATGCTAGTTTGAATGTTGTTTGGAGAAGATTCTTTTAAAGCATTAAAGGTAAAAGGTAAAGGTTCCCTTGCACGAAAGCCAGTCGAATCCGACTCTAAGGTTGCGGTGCTCATCTCTGTTTCAAAGCCGAAGAGCCAGCGCTGTCTGAAGACATTTCCGTGGTCATGTGGCCGGCATGACTAAACACCAAGGCGCACGGAACGCTGTTACCTTCCCACCAAAGTGGTACCTATTTATCTACTTGCAATTTCTTGCTTTCGAACTGCTAGCTTGACAGGAGCTGGAACTAGAGATGGGAGCTCACTCCGTCATGTGGCACCCCTGGGTCTCGAACTGCTGAACTACTGACCTTCCACAGCCTGCAATTCAGCGTCTTAACCACTTGAGCCACTGCAGCAGGGGAGAACCCTCTGGAGGAGGAGGAGGAGGAAGAGGAGATTGGATTTATACCCCACCCTTCACCCAGAGTCTCAAAGCAGCTTACAAGCTCCTTTCCCTTCTCCCCACAACAGACACCCTCTGAGGAAGGTGGGGCTGAGAGAGCTCTCTTGAGGACTGCCCTTGAGAGAACAGCCCTGAGAGAACTCATGACTGACCCAAGGTCACACCAGCAGCTGCAAGTGGAGGAGTGGGGAATCAAACCCGGTTCTCCCAGATTAGAGTCTGCCGCTCTTAACCACTACACCAAACTGGCTCCCAGACTGGACAAGAGTGGGGAGACAGGGTGACCGCTCCTCTGGGTAAAAAAATAAACCCGCTCCCTAAATGGAAAGGGATATGGAATGGTCTGGGAGAGCCCCATCATGCCAGATCTCAGAAGCCAAGTATTGTTGCTCCTTGGGAGTCCACTATGGATGACTCTGCAGAAGTGGGCAACGGGAAACTGCCTCTGCTTCTCCCTTGAGAGCCCCTCTGTGGGGTCACCATAAATTGATTGCGGGTTGATGGTCCGTACACACATATACAAATAGACAATGGATATATCCTGGGGAGGGGAGAACATTTCTCCCTGTTACGATGGCCCTCCACTCAAGGACATTTGTCTGGGGAGAAGGAATATTTGGTCACAAGATCATCCTCCTGCATGCTGAAGAGGTTTAGTGCCCGGAGGGCTGCACCACATCCTTTCTGGGCAAATGCCCATGGGCAGTTTCCTGAGTCCAAAAGCCGCTTTGTTTTCTTCCACTGAAAGCAGACTGTCTTCTTCACAGGTCCCAGGGTAAGTGACATGCTGAAAAGCACTAGATGTGATTCTAGTCTCAGAGTTGGGATTCCACCTCTGACAGAGATTCACTGGTTGGCCTTAGACAAACCCCTTCTCCTCTCTGGCTCGGCTCCTGCAAGGCTTCTGTGCAGTGTGCACATTCCGTGTTACCGGAAGTGTGGTCATCCAGCCACACCCACCTTTTGCTTCTTATTCTGTTTACCTTATTTGTTGTCCAAACCCAGGGCCTTTTTTTGTAGCAGGGACTCCTTTGCATGTTAGGCCACACACCCCTAATGTAGCCAATCCTAATGAGTTCCTGCTGTTGGGTGTGGCCTATTATGCGAATGAGTTCCTGCTGGGCGTGGCCAACTCAGGAGCCAGCCGGAACTCCGTTCCTGTGCGTTCCTGCCCAAAAATAGCCCTGGTGCCCATGCATCTGTGTGTTTTGTTCCTCCCAGTCTTGTCAGATTCTGGGAACTAAGCAGGGTTGGCTCCGATTAGTACTCGGATGGGAGACCCACGCAGAGGCCGGCCATGGCAAACCACCTCCATTTTGCTCTTCACCTTGAAAACCCTACAGGGTCACCATACGTTGGCAGCAACCTGATGGCCCCTTCCACCACTAGAACACACTGGCCCTGGGGCTGTGCCTTTTAAGGGAAGTGGAGGGGGGATTCTACCCTTGGGCTAAGCATCGCTGAGCATCCACACTATGGACCCAGGAGGAAAGGAGCTGCTATTGCCTAGCGGCTAAAAAAAATAACCTGCGGGAAAGGAGAGCTCCAACTCTAATCTCCCTTCTGCCACAAACTGACTGGCTAGCCTTTGGGAAGTCAACCTCTTGAGGACTCCATCCCCACATCTAACCCTAACTAGACCGTCCCGCCATGCTGGGCTGCTCTCATTGGTGGCTAGAAGGGCATTTCTTGCATGTGTTGTGACCCGCAAACATGATGTAGCCACACCAGTGGCCTGCAGTTCCAAAGTTACGTTCTTTGAAGGGTGAATTGTAGGAGCTGCAAGGAAGAAGAAGAGGAGGAGGAGGAGGAGGAAACAATAGTAGCAGCCCAAAGGAGTTTTCCCTTCCTCTCCCCCACAACAGACACCCTGAGAGGTAGGTGGGGCTGAGAGAGCTGTGACTGACCCAAGGTCACCCAGCTGGCTTCACAGGAGTGGGGAATCAAACCCAGTCCTCCAGGCGAGAGTCCATCATTCTTAACCACTACACCAAACTGACTCTCTTGAAGAAGCAGATCCTACCAAACCTTGCTCTTCCAAACTGTGACAGCACTGCCCCCTTGTGGTCAACTCTAAGACATGTATAAAAAGGTAAAGGTTCCCTTGCTCGAAAGCCAGTCGAGTCTGACTCTAGGGTTGCGGTGCTCATCTCTGTTTCAAAGCCGAAGAGCCAGCGCTGTCCAAAGTCGTTTCTGTGGTCATGTGGCTGGCATGACTAAACACCAAAGCGCACAGAACGCTGTTACCTTCCCACCAAAGTGGTACCTATTTATCTACTTGCAATGTCTTGCTTTCGAACTGCTAGGTTGGCAGAAGAAGACATGTATACATTAGATGTATATTAGATGTCAGCCCTTGTAGATTCAGGTGGGTAGCTGTGTTGGTCTGAAGCAATAGAACAAAGTTTGAGTCCAGTGGCACCTTTAAGACCAGCAAAGGTTAATTCTGGCTATAAGCATTCATGCGCATGCACACAAGTAAGGTGCTACTGGACTCAAACCTTGCTCTTTCAGCTATTGTATACACTGTGCTTTAATACAATTTCCTTATTCTTGCTGCAACTAATAACTCCAACAACATTTCATGCTAATATATGGATCATTTTCATATCATGTCATTTAAAAATCTGGTTGAAATGGAAGCTCAGTTTTCTCTATCTCGCGTACAGTTTTCTGTACGATTTCCAGAAAATGTTTGCCCTTCATCTAACATGTGTTTCCTTGGGAATGTTCGATCCAGTTTGCGAATTTCCAGTAGACTCATGTCTTCCATTCGGCGGAAGAAGACGCTTGTCGAAACGGCATCGCATTCCGGAGACCACCGTCCCGCCGTCATTGTTATCTTCTACCTTATGTAACTGGATTTACAATGTGAATGTATTAGTATCACTTTTGTAATTTTCATATTTATAACATTATTGCTGTCATTATAGAAACACTGAGCGCACTTTACACAGTTCCTGTGGCTCTATCTGTTCATGTCTACGGACTGTGACCACATTTGTCCTTCCATTCAGGATCACCAGGAAAGCTCACACAGAAGAGGAACACATCAGAGCTTTTTGGTATAAATTTTAAAAACCATAGCACAATGGGATGTACATGGTAATTCTAAAATCCTTGGCAGGTCAACTGTTCTATTTAAATATGTCTCTAGTTCCAGCTCCTGCCGACCTAGCAGTTCGAAAGCAAGAAATTGCAAGTAGATAAATAGGGACCACTTCGGTGGGAAGGTAACAGCGTTCCGTGCGCCTTGGTGTTTAGACATGCCGGCCACATGACCACGGAAACGTCTTCGGACAGCGCTGGCTCTTCGGCTTTGAAACGGAGATGAGCACTGCAACCCTAGAGTTGGATTCGACTGGCTTTCGAGCAAGGGAACCTTTACCTTTTACATATAAACTCATAATGTAAATGAGACCACTTGGGACGGAAGCAAGGGACAGAATTAAAATGGGGGGAAAGATACGTCATCGAAAACATATATTGGATCAGTTCCTTCAGATGCTTTTTCCCACAGAAAGCCAATCGACAGATGCCACTTAGCAACAGAAACCTCTCGATTCATTAGCTCTCTGCAGGGCTGGGTTGAGCCAGTTCACTTCTCCGCCGTACTGCAGAGTTTTTGCCCAGCCTCCCAAAGCACCTGCCTCACTCTGCTGCCACAGCACAGAAGTAGATGGCTGCGTCTCTGCGCTGGACCCCTGTGATGTTCAGGCGACTCGACTTCTCCTCTTTGTTGAGGTCAGCACTGAAGTTGCGTTCCTTTCTGGTTCCCTTCGCTGCTATTGTGAGCAGATGTGTAAGTCCGTTTCCCGGGCACTGCTGGTACCATTGCAAGCTGTAGAAATTGCTTGTTTCATACTTGCAGACGATGCTGGAAGTCTCTCCTTCCCTGGTGAACACCAGCAGGCTCTGGTTCACCTTGACTTGACATCTGACCCCTGCGTGGAAACAACTTGTCGTTAATTCAGCCATCGACTGCTTATTGGGCCCAAGAGGAAAGCAACGGGATTCCATGAATCGCCCTCCCATTTCATGGATCTTGTACTGAATCCTGGTGGTGTCCATTGTAATCTCTAGAGCATAGTTAGCAGCAGAGGATGTTGCAATAGCCACAGGCATAGTCGACTTTAAAAGGAGATGAGACAGGTTCACGGAGGATAGGTCTATAAATGGCTACTAGGGTGACTAAAGGGAACCTCCACATTCAGCTCTGCTTCAGTGCCAAGAGGCAACCTCAGGAGAAGGCCTTACCCTCCCTGCCCGTTGTTGGAATTCCAGAGGAATTGGTTG